TATTAAGAGTAGAAAGAAGGGAAGAGGCGGGGGAGGGGCAAGTGACACGGGGGGAGCGGGGCTTGGGGGAGGGCAGTGATCCCGGCGGAAAAAATTTGGGAGGAGTGGGGGGGGGGCAGCAACTTAAAAGGGGGAGGGACTGCGGCTAAGGAGACGGTCGGTGATGGGAGCGCAATGTATGAGGGGATACCGTGCCTCAGGTTTAAAAGAGCAGGAAGCTGAGTGAGAGGCTGGAGAAAGTGTCTTCACTAGGGGGAGGTTACAGGTGGTGTCTAGGAAAGAGCTCTGAGGCTACAAGCTGTAGTCGGGAAGAGGATCGGAGAACTGTGTGAAAGGGACAGTTTGGGGGCTAGCGTCCTGGGGCGAGGGGGAAGTTTCGAGACTTTCTGAGGACTGGCAGGAATGTGCCCACTGGCCCTTGGTGCTTCCCCGCTGAGGGGAGGCATCGTAAAGGACTGTAGCAGGCTCCAGTGAATGCCGAGCCACGGAGGTCCATCTCCACGTATGGATCTAGGGAATGAGAATTCAGCCACAGAGGCTGCCGCGATCATAGACCTCGATCCCGACTTCGAACCCCAGAGCCGTCCCCGCTCCTGTACCTGGCCCCTTCCCAGACCAGAGCTCGCTACAGAGCCGCCCGAGCCACCCGAGGTGGAGCCAGTTCTGGGAGAGAAGGAACACACGGAGGGGCGCTCAGACCCGATCCTGTTGCCCTCCCGGCTCCCAGCGCCGGAAGGGGGCCCCCAGCCCAGGACCCTGGGGGCCGTAACAGGTCCTCGGAAGGGAGGCTCCCGCCGGAATGCCTGGGGAAATCAGTCATATGCAGAACTCATCAGCCAGGCCATTGAAAGCGCCCCCGAGAAGCGACTGACGCTTGCCCAGATCTATGAGTGGATGGTCCGCACTGTGCCCTACTTCAAGGACAAGGGTGACAGCAACAGCTCAGCAGGATGGAAGGTAACTATGACCCCCCTTACCTCAGCCCCAATGCCACCTACGCCAAAGCCCCCATCCTCCTTACTTCTACTCTGGAGCCCCTTTTCCCGCCCCCTACCCCTTTGGCAAGCCCAGAGATCCACCTTCAACCTTCAATTAGACAAACATTTACTTAGTACATAGTATATATGCCACGCTCTGTGCTTGATGCGGGAGAAATCACGATGAATAAGACACTGTCCCTGCCCTGGAGAAAACTGAATTCTCTGCTCGTTGCTCAACTCTCCCAGCACTTTGGCTTGGGTGGCCCCTAACACTAACTCCCACAGAGAAGCCTTTATCCTATGTACAGCAGGAACTCTGTAGATTCCCTACATGACCCTAGCCTTCCCTCCTCCTTCACCTCCCATTCCAACACCTTTTCTCCCATTCCTGTGGGATTACTTAGATCCCTGCTTGTTTCCCAATACCTCAGTGTAGAGGTACTGTTTTAAGGCTATTCTACCCAAGTGGGGGTAACAAAGTTTAAAAAAAAAAAAACACGGCATTGCCATTGAATCAATTCCAACTCATAGCGTCCTTATAGGACAGAGTACAACTGCTTCATTGGGTTTCCAAGGAGCAGTGGATTTGAACTAGAGACCTTTTGGTTAGCAGCCCAGTGCTTAACCATTGTACCACCAGAGCTCCACAAAGGTAAAAAGAGTGATATTCATAGGGTAAGGTAGCTACTCTTGTGCACTAAGAAGAAAAAGGGCTGTGGGCTGCTACCTGCCTCAGTTTACCCTATAATGCCAAGAAATTCTCCCTTTCTGGGGAAAAGTTTTCATTTACAGTATTGGTGAGGAGTATTAGTTCTGATAAAGGAGATAGAGCTCTGATTTTAGAGCACAAGGCTGGGAATTCCCTTGGCCTTCCATGAAGAAACTATGAGGAAACATCTCACAAAATGATCTAAAAATTTGTCCTGAGAAATAATGGGGTTCTAATCATGAAATGGAGCCCTGGTGGCACAGTGGTTAAGCATTTGACTGCTAACCAAAAGGCTGGCAGTTTGAATCCACCAGCTGCTCCTTGGAAACCCTATGGAGCAGTTCTACTCTGCCCTACAGGGTCGCTATGAGTCAGAATCAACTCCAAGGCAACGGGTTTTTAATCAGGAAATAGGAGTCCCAGTGGTGCAAAGAGTTAAGCGCTGAGCTACTAACTGAAAGGTTGGCCGTTTGAACCCCCTCAGGGATGCCTTGGAAGAAAGACCTGGTGATCTGCTTCGTGAAAGGCCATAGCCACGAAAACCCTATGGAGTACAGTTCTACTGTAAAACTCACGGGGTCGTCATGAGTTGGAGTCGACTTGATGACAAATAGTTTTTTTTTTTAATCATGAAATTGGGGCACTCACTATGAGTCAAAATCAACTCAATGGTATCTAACAACAACAACCTCTATTAATATCTTGTACCCCCCAGGTGGTGAGGTCAGCATACAGCTATGTACAGAGGGTTGAATGAGCAGAGGGTCTTTCCGTAGGTATAGGAGATCAAGAGATCAGATCTGCAGTATCCCTAGGGGCTGGCAAGAACAGAAAACGGGACAGCTGACTTCGACCCTTGGCACTATTTCTGGGTAGTCTGCCACGCTACAGTCTCAGTTTATAAAGAACTCCTCTCCTTGGACCCAGCCTACACAGCTGTTTTTCTTTTCCCTTAAGTTCATTTTCCAGGGTAGAGGAAATAACCACAAGTTGTTAGTTATGCTGTGGGAGTGTACTCCCTCCTTATATAATTTACACTTATACAGGGCTTTTCAGTTTACAAAGTATTAAAATATCTTATTTCATTAATCTTCACAGAAATTCTGAGATCCCACATTTTGCATATTAGGAAAGTGAGGTTCCCAGAAGGTTAGGAAACTCGCCTATTATCAGTAGAATGAGGACTTGAACTCAGGTCTTCTAACTATAAGTCATATGCTCTTTCTGCTAGTCGATGCTGCCAAATTCTCTTCCAGAACCTAAGAAGGGCATGGTTTGTTCTCATTGGAATGATGGCAAAACCAAAGCAGGTTGAACCTGGGGCTTTAGAGCCCTGGGGAGGTGGGGAAAAGCCTCATGCCTGAACTGGCTTCCCAGGTGATGTGGTAAAGTTACTCCCACCCCACCAGGGGGCGGCACTCACTTAGAACAAGAAAACTTAGGCTAGGTGGCTTGGGGAGCAATAAGCAGCCACCCCCTTCCAACATGTAAGAATTATAGGCTTCTAGGGAGCTGACCTCTAGATAAGAGGCAGTACCGCTTACTATTTCTGAAGCCTAACGAAGAGGGGATGAACTAATGGGCCTTATGGATACTAAGTAGTAAGAAAAAAATGGGCCTTCTCAGTAGACGCAGGAATTAGAGGATGAACAGGGAGAGATCATGGTGCCAGAAGTCACCGTGGTCCTCAGTTGCTAAGAGCACTCGCTAGATTGACAAGTCCAACTCCTTGAAGGAGCTAGGAAGATCAACACAGCAGAGTAATTGGAGAGCCATTATAGCAGGGTCCCAGATAGACAAGGATCTCTTTGGCTAAAGAGCCCTGGAACAAGAAACTGCTTAAACATCTTTCCCCAGGCAAAGGGTCTTCTTATCATAGAGCATCAGAGAAACCACTGTCCATCGCCTCAGCCTCCTAATTGCTCCAAGCCCTTCTCAGCTCCTCCTGGGTTTCTAAATTCTAAAGAGTTTCAAGTGGGAGGTCAAATGCCCCTAAGGGTAGAGAATTTATGCACGAATTCCTGAGGAGAAGTAGGTGAAAGAGCTAGGATGTGGGGAAGAGAAAGGAGGTTGGGGGAGTACACAGTGGTGTAACTAGCCTGGGCCAACCAGTAGAAACAAACTGCTGCAGGGGCTCAAGAAGTTGCCACTCTCTGCTCCAAAAGCCCCAGGAAAAAAAAAACTTATCTCTAGCAGAATGTCATAACATTAGTGAATGAAGAAGGGAAGACACACAGCTTCCAATACCCAAGCACTCAACAGCTGACAGAGCCTCAAGTGGAGCCTCACCATTGCACCCAGGGGCCACCCGCCAATCGGGCAACAAATATTGATCTGAGATGTACTGTGAGCTTGGCACTGGTTCTGTTGAGGGTTGTGGGAGTGGCAGACATGATCTGTACCCTTGGTGCTTACAGTTGATGAGACTAATTACGTGAAACTGTAAACAATATAAACTGGGTAAAATTGTGTGGAGCAGATTAAAAATACTGTAGGAGAAATTTGGCTGCAGAAGTCAAGCAACCACTTTACAAAAGAGGTGGGATTTAAGCTTGATCTTGATGAGCTAGTAGAATTTAGAGAGGGGCAATCCTTCCCAGGAAAAGGTTGGGGGGAAGGAATGCTCCTCTTGTATTTGAGGCACAGGGAGAAGCCAGGTCTGAATATGTCTGAGGGTGTGTGTCAGCAGATTGGGAGATATAAGGTTGGAATTCAGAAAAAAATCAATCTTCAAATCCTATAGAGAGCTGGGGCCCAAATGCCCTGAGGGGAATGAAGCACCAGCCTGGCTGAGTTTCAGGCCCCTCAGCCTTTTCAGAGAACTGGCTCAGCACAGGGTGGACCAGTCACGGGTTGGTGTTACACCACTGTCCTGTAAACTCCACCCAAGCCTGCACTCAAGGAACAGGGTGGAGCTGTGGAATGCTCTTTTCCCACCTGAGCCTAGTTCTTGCTGGGCCAAGGGTATGCCTCCCCCACACCCACCAGCTCCAGACAACCCCCAGAGACTTGGGAGGAATACAGTGCTGTGAGCTTTTCCTGGACAAGCATAGTGCCCTCTGCAGCAGGGGGTTACTCAGGTTTTTTCCTGGGCCCCTGTGCAGAGAGGTCTGGAGCAGAGACTGAGCAGCTTGTCTTCGGGGTGGGAGCTACGTGTGATCAGCCTCCCCCACCGTTGCCCTGCCTCTGCCCATTTGTTTTCCCCCTGGGATCTGACTTTCTTTAAGTCCCCCAGAACACCCCTGCTATGTCCCAGCATCCTTGAGACTGGACTTCTGGCCACTGACCTCCCCCACACACACACCTCATGCCCCTTTCCTGCTGCCTCTGCCCCCTCCAGAATTCGATCCGCCACAACTTGTCCCTGCACAGCAAGTTCATCAAGGTTCACAACGAGGCCACCGGCAAGAGCTCTTGGTGGATGCTGAATCCCGAGGGAGGCAAGAGCGGCAAGGCACCCCGCCGCCGGGCGGCCTCCATGGATAGCAGCAGCAAGCTGCTCCGGGGCCGCAGCAAGGCCCCCAAGAAGAAACCAGCTGTGCTGCCAGCTCCACCTGAAGGTGCCACTCCAGCAAGCCCTCTTGGCCATTTTGCCAAATGGTCAGGCAGTCCTTGCTCTAGAAACCGTGAAGAAGCCGATATGTGGACCACTTTCCGTCCACGAAGCAGTTCCAATGCTAGCACTGTCAGCACTCGGCTGTCCCCCATAAGGCCAGAGTCTGAGGTGCTGGCAGAGGAGGAAATACCAGCCTCAGTCAGCAGCTATGCAGGGGGTGTCCCTCCCACCCTAAATGAAGATCTAGAGCTGTTAGATGGGCTCAATCTCTCATCTTCCCATTCCCTGCTATCTCGGAATAGTCTCTCTGGCTTCTCTTTGCAGCATTCTGGGGTTACTGGCCCCTTACATGCCTACAACACCTCCCTCTTCAGCCCAGCAGAGGGGCCCCTGTCAGCAGGAGAAGGGTGCTTCTCAAGCTCCCAGTCTCTGGAGGCCCTGCTCACCTCTGATACGCCATCACCCCCTGCTGATGTCCTCATGACCCAGGTAGATCCCATCTTGTCCCAGGCTCCAACACTTCTGTTGCTGGGGGGGATACCTTCCTCCAGTAAGCTGGCCACAGGAGTCGGCCTATGCCCCAAGCCCCTAGAGGCTCCAGGCCCCAGCGGTCTGGTTCCGTCCCTCTCTACAATAGCACCACCTCCAGTCATGGTGGGTGTTCCTGTCCCCAAGACCCTGGGTACTCCTGTGCTCACACCCCCTACTGAAGCTGCAAGCCAAGACAGAATGCCTCAGGATCTAGATCTTGATATGTATATGGAGAACCTGGAGTGTGACATGGATAACATCATCAGTGACCTCATGGATGGGGGCGAGGGACTGGACTTCAACTTTGAGCCAGGTACAGCACTCCCTAATCAACTCTAGCATCTCACAACCTTCTACTCACTCTTAGGTGCCCAGTTAGTCCCATAATCTGAGCAAAGGGGAGATTTAGAACAAAGGGTAGCCGGAGCTCCTGAGCAATTGGAAAGAGGATGTCATATTAGAGTGGCATATTTTCCAGATGGGACCTCCATGCCCCTCAGCAGTGCCCACCCCTACAAGGTAGCACAGAAGAGATGGGGAGGGTCTCTGTTTCCCTTGGTATAAACCTGGGTGATGGAAAGTTGTCATGCCCCAGATGAGCCTCTTACCTCGTCTTCTTTCTTCTTCCCACAGATCCCTGAGCCATGGCTGGAAGCTTTCTCCTCTGCTTCAGAGGTGGAGCCAGGCTGTCCATGTCCACTCTTTACCCTTGACCCCCTCCCTGGGATTTGGTACCCTGCTTTAGAGCTAGGGTGGGGTCTGGTCACACACGGGTATTAAGGAAATTATGAAGATAAAGCTGCCCCATACGGGGACTATGGGAGGGAGGGAAGTGGGAGGGGGAGAGGGAGGGGGTTTGTTCTCACTGTGCCAATTAGGGGGTAAGGCCCCCTCTGGGAGCCATCTTTGGCTCCCCTCATTCCTACCCCCTAGGCTTTGTGGCAGGGACGGGCAATGCTGTTGGAAATGTGAAGTCACCAGTGGCCTTACCCCTGCCTTTGGGAGCAGGATCTTTTGTAGAGAGTCTTATCTGAGCTGGGCCACGCAAAGTTGAGCCTGGGATTTTTATCCAGTGGCCCCTTAGGCCTGTGGTGCAGGGTAGAGGGCTGGGGGGGATCCGGAAGGGCCAAGACCTGAGCACTGGAGCGGTTAGCCAGGCCAAATCACCCCTTGGAAGGCTGCAGATAACAGAAAGACTTTTTATAAACTTTTGAAGAAATCTAAACACAAATATAGAGATTTTTAACAGTGGCTAGGTGCTTTTCTTTCTGAAGGCTTTGTCATAGTGACATGGTACAAACACTACAGACAATACTAGGGGAGACACGGAGAAATGGGGGAGAGAACTTAAGGCCAATAGAGAAAAGGGAAACAGGAGGGAATTGGTGGGGAACAACAGTGAACAAGGGCGAGAACTTTCATTTGAACCAGGTCTAGGAAAAGATCCATGCAGAAATAGGTTAGAGTTTCTCTAAGAAAAAGGCTAAGCCAGGTCCCCTCATTCGGTCAACTTGTGCCTAGAAGTGAGTGCAGCCACACTCTTTATGACCCAGTGTGGGTTAGTGCTACTGTGGGAGAGACTGCATTGAAGGCCTGGAATTAGCTTAGAGCCTGGGAAGTGGGTGGAGTGGGAGAAGGGAAGAAGGGAAGGATTTAGGGTAGTAAAGTTAAGTACAGAGACCTCCCTGTTCAAGGCCTCTGACAGCTGTCCCTGCCCTTCTTCCCCTTCCCTGACTACAGGGGTTATGTGGAAGTGTGTGTGGTGGCAGGCAGGGGGGAGGGGAGAAACAGGGATTGGGGAGCTTGGCTAAGGGTCTGGGAAATGAGCAGGGATAGGGAGGAATGTGGATTGGGCTTACTAGCACCTGCCAGAGAGGCCATCTGGGGCTCACTCTTCACCCCAGCCCCCAAAGCAGCCCCTTCCCCAGTTCTCTTTGCATTGTCCCCTCCCTTTCCCCTGCTGTGGGTTCCCACCCCTGCTGTGGGTTCCCGTCATTTCCTGTGTCAGTGCCTGGCCTACCCAGATTGTATCATGTGCTAGATTGGAGTGGGGAAGTGTGTCAAATCAATAAATGAATAAATTCAATAAATGCCTATAACTAGTTCTGGTTTCTGCTGCCTTGCTGCTCCTGTGGGATAAGGAGGAAGGGGAGGGAAGGGTAAAGGGCGATTGGATGCAGGGGGAGGGAGACTGCCCAGAGGCAGAGAAGTGGAGGGTGGGGGAATTCCGGCAGGGGGAGGTGCTAGAGTGTGGAGAGGAGAGGGGAGATGCCTAACTGACACCTAACCCCAGCAGAAGGAGTAGGTGGGCTGTGAGATAGGCTTTGCAAGGGGAGGTAGTCTGGTTTAAGAAGACCCACCCAGGTGCTCAGCCCAGCCGCCTCCTACAGCCCCCACCCACCCTCACAGCCTCCGTGGTGCCTGGTGCTACTTAAGCCTTGGTGCAGATCCTGGGGAAAGGAGTCTTTCTGAAAAAAGGAAACTCACATTAAATTCCAGTAACTTCGTACCAAGTATTACTGCTCTCGTGTGGTCAGTTTATTTAGTTAACGATGTTTATCCCTCCTGCTGACAAAGTCTACTCTGGTCCTATGGGACGGACCTCTGCGAGGCGGACCCTCTTCCTCTGCTCGTCCTGCTTTAGACTGGAAAGGGAAAGGGTCAGTAAGCAGATACACAAAGAAATCCCTACAAGGAAGGTTTCTAACAAACTGGGGCCCAAGTAAGGACAGAAGAGGTTGTAGGCAAGTCGTGCGCATCGATGTTGGGTTCAGAAAGGAAGTTCATCCCAGGGGGCCAGGGTGGAGGAGCTTTCAGTTGGCTGCTGGGGAGAGGTGGGTACTGGGACAGATAGAGTTCGGGAAGTCTTACTGGAAGGTTCACGGAGGATTCAATTGCAACGACCTTCTTGGCTTCTTGGATTCTAAGCATCTTTATTCGGTTCCTCTCTAGTATTTCACATTGTGTGCGCAGCGCATCTAAGAAATAGGAAAAGGCACCCAAATCTCTGAGGACTGAGACCTTATCCATCCCAACCCTCCCCATCATTCAAACTATCAGTTGGAATAATGTAGCCGAAGGCTAGGCTGAGGAGTGATCTGAAGGTGCCTAAGTTTTGCCCTTTTCAGCGAAAAGTGGGATACTAATGCACTGAGAAAAAAAGGGATGAAGGGAAAGATGGAAAAGATGGGGTGGTGATAGGGAGATATACTGAGAAGATGGCCCAGAGACTGGCGGGGGGTGGGGGGAGGTGCGGAGGAATGAATGACACTTGCACACTCCACCTGGTTTGAGCTGAACATCCTTCCTAAAGTGGACCTAGATCCTGTTCCCCTTCTTCTAGGATCCTGCGATCCTACCTACAGTGTTACACTAGCCCCACCCTATATTCTCCATCACATAGCTATGTACTGTACTCTCCACGTTCTTCCCTCCTCCATCATGCGCCTTACCTATTAGCTCAGGCTCTGGATTCTTCAGGAGGGGCACAAAAGCTTTGTAGGCACGCTCAAGTCGGGTTCCTGTGAACACAGCAGTGTGCTATCCTCAGCCCCTGTCCCCTAGTCTCCACCCATCCAAAACCCAAGATTTCAGGACCCTAGCGTTAAACACTACCTTGAGCTGGTGTAACTTATTTCCTCCCCTTAGGTTCATCCCTAGGATAAGATAGGGGGACATGGTATGTCTGAACCTAACCTTTTGTCATAGAGGCAGTGCCCTTTCTTAGGCTGACTGGAGATGATCAACTTGGATCTGATTGAGGGTGCCCTATTTTATGGACGAGGTTCATGAGCCATCTTGAGGTCCTTGCTCTATGTCTGGGGAATGCTCCCAAGCCTCTACCTTGTGGCCCACGCTCCACCTTACAAACATAGTAGGTGTTTCGGGCTGTAAGGAATTTGCTGGCGTACTCTCCAGGGGTCTTCATCAGGAAAAACAACTTCATTGTCCCCGTTTCATCACACAAATCGATGATGTCTGGGGAGAGGCCACAGGGTAATTGGGGCAGCTAAGGAAAGAGAGTGCGAACGAAAGAGGCCAGTGATACTATACAGGATGGGTTTGAGAAAGCTGTGGGAATATGAGGAACTCCTTTCTTGCCAGGAGGAGGATTTGGGGGCTGGGGATGACTCTATTACTCCTGACCCTTGGCCATAGTCCCCTCCTCAAACTCCTCACCTCTTTTAGACAACCCCACTTTACCGCGGGTGTAATGTAGCAACAGGAGGATAGAGCAATTGATATTGACCAGAAACTGCTGATTATCTGAAAAGAGACGGGATGGGATATGTGGACCAGTCTCTAGTTATATAATCCCTGTGATTACTGCCCTCAAACCTCACCACCCTCATACACAGATTCCAGCTCTATGGTGCCCCTCACCTCCATGTTTGATGAAGATGAACATGCTTTCAAGATTGTGTCAATCTTCAGAGAGAAGCCTGATGAGTCATGCAGAAGTAGGACGTTCTAAAGGTCTTGGGGGCCAAGTGGGCCCATAGGGTTGGGGGGGGTCAGAGGAGCAGATGGGTCCCATAGGCTAGGGAGGCCCAGATCGGGTGTATAGAAGAGAGCTATTGGCAGTTGTGGATAACCAGCATCCCTAGGGGTGGGGCCTGAGGCTGCAGTTGAGGGATTATGAGGTCAGAAGTGGTATGCGTGGCAAAGGGTAGAGGAAAAATAAGAAGAGAAGAACTTGGGTGGGATTGTAAGAGGTTTGTTGGGAATTGGGGCAATGTGGTAAATCTAACTCTAAACTGGGACCTGGAATGAGTACAGAACACGTAGAGAAAAGCGAGTTTCTGGAACAGTACTATTTTCTAGTTAACTTGTAGTACTACCCCTTCCACAGCATGAGTCTACTACTCCTTTTTCCTACCTTCAGCACCATGCCTCCCACTCTTATTATACCCCATGCTTCCTCTGCTCCCTGCCCCCGTGACAGACATTCTTTTGCTTCACTTTTTAAAATACTTTATTTTTTGTGAACATGACAGACATTCTTATTCTTATCAACAGAAACTTTATTTCTCATTGATTCAGGGACTATTGAAGGGTAAATGGAAAAAGGGGAGGGAGGGACAGAGGGAGAGAATCCTGAGCAAAGGAAGGGCCAACTGGGGAGATGGGAAACAAGTAGGGGGCAAAGGGACAATTCTCAAGTAGGAGTTACTAAATGAAGGGGCAGTTATACAGGGCACAAAGTTCAAAATCAGCCACAGAAGGTCAAGCTGAACGTTGGATCCAGACTGAATGAGGGGAAGTTAGCACAGCATGGGGCTGTAGGACCCTGGAGTCCTGTCAGGGTATCAGGACTCAGGTTTCAAGGTGTAACATGGTGGGGGGCAATAGGGGCTATGCTGGCTGCTGGGGGAGCCTCCAGGCCCCTCCCCTAGGGCTCCCCCTTTTGGGAGAATTTCACTGACGTGGCAGAGTCGTTCACTGTAGTCTGGCTGCAGACTCTCCGCCAGTCCCTTAGACACGCCACTCCAAGCCTAAGAGACAGATATCTCCAGATCAGAGGTCAATTAGGAGCAGGAAGTAAAAACCCAGGCTCTGTGCCAAGGGAGATCTCACAACGTCTGTGATTACTAAAGGGAAGAGACCCCTGGGCCCCCAATACCACTGTTTCCATCTGCCTCACCCAATCTGTAATCAGTTCTTCTATATGTCTCTGTCTAGCCCGTCGCCCGGTTGTTGAACACATCCTGACAGTTAGTTCAGGCCTCCCCTCCTCCTGCCCTCTATCCCCCACATTGTCTGTCTTGCCGGCAGACAGTCAGCAGTAGACAGACTGCATTCTGCTTATGGCAGTGTTCTCACCGAAAAGTTCCCATGGTATTCAGTAACCAGGTCCTCCAGGTTCTTGAGGGTGGGAATTCGGGGCATCGTCCTGAGTGAGGAGAAAGAGAAAGCAAGAGCACATTGGTTACGCTCTTTTATTACCCTTCTCCCAGTTCCCCAGTATAGAATGAAGTGATTCCATGTTGTCGGTGCCTGTAGCTTCCTCCACCACCATGCCCTCTTGGGTGATCCCTCCATTCCTTACCGTCCTGCCCCCTACTCCCAGAGACCCTACAATAACCCTCCTCTACTATTCCCAGCCACCTCCTGGGCTTACCCAATTCTCACCTTTCCAGCCAGCAATACACAAAGACGAGGCTAATAACCAAACCCACAGAGCCAAGGGGAATAAGCACAGCTTCCAATGCAAACAACAAAGGATTCTCTATAGAAAAGAGGAAATGAAAAGGGATTGAATATGTGTAGTGCCCCTACTATGTGCCAACACTTGTACAGCCCCGGCTTGGTGCCAGGCACTGTGCTGAACACTTTCTGGATTCTTAATCTTCACAACAACACCTGAGAGGGAAGAACCGTTATTATCCCCCATTTTACAGGTGAGGAAACAGAATTGAAAGAGTTAGTGATGTGCCCAAAGTCAAAGGGGTAGTAAGTGGCAGAGCTAGATTTAAACCCTATACCTGTCTGGTTCCAAACCCATCTTCACCATGCAGGTTCTCTGGGAATGCTGTAGGGAAATCCTATGCATTCTATATCCCCCTTGAGTATTCCTCTGCCTCCTTCTTAACCCTCTGCACTCCTCTATCCTAATAACACACTGACTCAACCCTACACAGAAGAACTTTGCTTTCTGGGGGTTGAGTCTGAACAGTGAGATGAGATGGGGCACCAAGTTTGTGGGGCTTAGAGATAGGGAGGGAGAGCAAAAGACAGTGGCGTTAGAAAGGTTGGGAGTGTTGAGCTCGTGGATTGAGGTCACGTATTAGGTCCATTTTACCCTTTGATGTATTGCTCCCCCATGTATTGCTCCCCCAGTGGATCGGGTGGCTCCATTCACTCCAATGTTGAGCACTGCCACAGAGTGGGTTATAGCGGCTCTGAACACGGAACGTGTAGAGTTTCTGTCCATCCACGCTAGGCAAAGAGAAACTACGTCTGTGGTCCACTGATTGTTCCTTGGGGAGAAAGAGGGCCAGAGAAAGGTGAATGTCTATAAAAGAAGGGAAAATTAAAACATACTGCTGCCTGCGCCCCAATGTCCTCCTCTGGTTCTTCCCAGTTCCTCCCTCCTCTCTTGACTGCTCAAGTCACACTATTCCCTTCACTGACTAGAATCTAATGCCTCCCCTCCAGATTCCTTTAAAGGCTGCCTTTTGTTTACTTGTCTGTCTGGTATTCGGGAGAGTATGGGAAGGGAAAGCTTAATGAAAATCACTGGTGAGGATGGGGAAAGGAGTTGAGGGGAGGGTGAGGGCGGGCAGAGGAACTGGGAGGCAAAGGCATAGAAGCTTGGGATTAGGCCATAATATCTGGCTGATTGAATCCTTTATCCCCACTTGCTTGGCATTAACTGCTACGTTCATTTCCCTAGTCACTCACAGTCCAGCTGCGGTCCCGGTCACTCCGGTACTGCACCAGATGTTCCAAACAGTGGTCCAAGTATCTGTTGTCCCAGCTCAGCTCTAGCTGGGATTCACTCAGGTGGCGAAGTGTTAAATTTTCCGGAGCCCAGGGGATTACTGGAGATATGTGTGCGTGTGTGGTCATTCCCCTGGCCTAGACAAGTCAGGATCCTGAAGGTAGTGCCCCTTATCCCTCCTCCCTTCCCCATCCCCATCCCCCACCTCCTCCTTTCTGCTCAAGTAGCCTTATGGTGAAAGAGTACCACTCCATATACCCCAGTGCCCCACAATATCCCTGGACTCTTGACCCCCTCTTTCCAAATACCCAGATCCTGCAGTTTTAGCATCTGCACAGCCTGCCTCTTGGATTTCCTTGGGTCCTGGAGCTGTATGACAAATGTTTGGTAGAGATGAATCTCCTCTTTTCGAAACCAACAGCCAGAAGTGATCTCTTCAGAGAAGAGATAGTGGCCACATTCCTGGACTTTATTATCAGAGTTCTTGTACCTAGAGGTGAGAAGAAGAACAGTGGGGCAAATTTGGGTACTGTAGATATCCACAACCCGGCCTCATCCTCTCTGAACTGACTTATGACTTGCCCCATGAGAAAATAGCGAGAAGCCTGGGATGCTGGCTACCCTCTTTCTTGGTCCCCAGGTAGTCTCTCTCATTCAGTCCACCTCCTCTATCCGCCCCATGCTACCCCCTCTTCCCTTCTCATACCAATAGCGCAGAGTCAAGTTGGTAGGCTGGGGCTCAGAGCTGCTATTCCAAGTGCAATTCATGTACTCAACATTGAACACAAAACACTGAACCTCTGGGAGGGGCAGGGTAGAAAAACTGAGGGACCCAGGGGACACAGAGGTCGGAAAGAAATCTAGGTTGGGAAAAAAATGAAATGGGGGAGGGGAAGAGAAGAAATGATGGTTAGAGGAGAAGCAGCATGTGGCAGGGAACCCATCCCCCTGCCCTCCCCTCTCTGCTGTTTAATTCTGCCCACATTGTCCAGTGGCAGGATTCAGATTTCTATATTGCCCCTTCTCACCAGTCCCCCTCCCCCAGTACCAAGTTCCCCACCAGTTGTGATGTCTTCATTCCCGTTGGGAGTGAGGGCCGTCAGGTTCAGCCCCACCCCCAGCAGAGGCAGCTGCAGGAATAAGAAGGGTCTGAGTGGCAGTGATAACTTCAACATGGCGCTTGCTCTTCATTCCCTGGGTGTAGTCTGTGTCAGGAACCTGGGCCCCTCACCCATTACCCTTCCCCACCCACACATTTCCTTCTGTCATAGCTTCCGGTGGAAAGAACCTTAGAGACCAAGGCTTTACAGAGGGTGTGGCAAATGTGTACTGTCACACAGACTAAGTCCCCTGGGAGTTTAGGTGCCACTGCCAGGTGGCATTAACTAGAGACTAAGGCTGGTTATACAGTATTGCCACAGACTCAAGACTCCTCACACCATCTAGATCCCGGGAAGGATCTGTTCCCTTCAGCCACCATTCCCAAACACTTTCTCTAAATCGTTGCTTATATAGTGGAGGGTCTGAAGCTCTGCCCGTCCTATGCTATGCTCCTCTCTTTGTTCAAACAAACAAACGAAAAAAAAAAAAAAACCTGTTGCCGTCGAGTCAATTCCGACTCATAGCAACCCTATAAATCTTTGTCAACATTCCATTGCCTTGGGAGGATAGAAAATACAGTCTTGGCTCCTGTGGGCAAGTATATAGCTATCTTTCTTCTTTCCTAATCAGAACCAGAATACCCACCTTAGCCACTGCCTGTTGAGACTGGTGAGGAGGTCTGACTTAGAAGGCGACTCTGGAAATGGAGAATAACAATACTAGCTTCAAACTCCTCATCTTCCTGCAAATCTGCTTCTCTTCCTGTGTTCCCTATCTCAGTCACCCAGACTTGAAACCTTAGAGTCATTTTCAAGTCCTCCCTCTCACCATGAGAATCTAATCAACTCTACGCCTATGGTGTTTCTCTCAGCAGTCTCTCGTTTCCATTACCACAGCCACTGTGCTATATCAGGCCCTCATTACCTCTAGTCATGATTATTACTAGAATCCACTAACTGGTCTCCCTTTTCTAAAGGCCCTCTGCTCTCTAATCCATTCTTCATCCTGTTGCCAGATTTACCTTCCCCAAAACACAGAAGAGTTGACTGGAGACACTACTTGCAGAAATAGTTTATTCAGCAAATATTTGTTGAGCCTTTACTATGTGTCAGGCTCTGTGCTTATGTTTTGGGACTATACAAATGAATAAGACACCCTCACCCTTCTAGGAGCTCATAGCTAAGTGGAGATGACATAAACAGATAATACAACACAGTGTAATAAGTTTTACAGCACAGATATGGAGATACTGCAAAGTATGTGAACAGAGAAGAGGAAGTAACTAAATTTACCAGGATTGGGGAAGGGGGA